CCAGCACACTATGTCACCTTAGTGGGCAACACAACCCTGCACCTGAACCCCCATCTGACGTCCTATGCCAGGTGAGCTCCTGGAATCTTACCGCGTGCTACCTCTAGACATCAGTAACAGTAAAATGCTTTATCTCAAGTACCAGTGAAAGACGTTTCCTTGCCTATCTTGGATAAATGTTGGGTTTCATGGTTTTTTTTCCCCAAAACACTTATTTGAGGAGTAGTGCTTTTTTTTCCCCCCATTTTGTTTTGTGGTTGGTTGTTTTTAATATAAAGGTCTCCTAGCTGAACTGGAAGAGTTAGGTTATACATCAATACATAAATAAATCAATCTCTCTTAACAGAAATAGAAGAGGGAGATGAAAAGTTTCTAAGAGCTGAAATACAGGGTACACATAAACATTGTTTTTACAGCACTTTTCCTTTTATGTTCAAGGCAATACAACGGTATTCTCTCCTTTCAGGGTCAGGGAATCATCTATCCAGGCAAACTGTTGCCTTAGTGCACGCCTGATGGAGGGGAAAGAAAAAGGAATTTTTTCTTTCTGAAACACTTTGACTAGCTCTTGGTACTGACTTCATAGCTTGCAGGTAACAAAGAGATAAAATACTAAAAGGACAATAGTTTACAAATTACAACCAGTTCTCTTACACCACACCGAAATGCTTTTCCTTAGCCATCTCCTGTCTGGAGAAAGAACTAGTAAGTACCTAACTCAAACTGTGGCATGCAAGAATGCGATGGCAAACCTGTTACAGGATGTTATTTTTGTCATACCACTGATCACATGTACCTGTTTGCCTCCCAGTGATAAGACACCCCAGAGTCCTCCCGTTTTAAGACAGGCAAACCTCTTCACAACGTGCACACGGTTGCCACGTGGTGCGCTCAGAAATGATGCCGTTTGTCACAAATATCTTTCCCTGCAACCCCCAAAATATCCCCAAGAGAGAAATCTTACTGAGGAGAGGCTCGTTGTTGGGAAATGGAATAGCACCCTGGTTTTGTTCTGAAGTCTCTAGAACTTCTGTTTCCGAAGGACATAACTGAATCAACTCTTTATTTGGCACCTGAAGGAACAGAAGTAGTAAAAGGGAAGAATTAAATCCTAAATTTAGCCACAATGATCACGTTACAGCAATGTTTTAAATCACTGTCAAAGTAGCAAGAACTGAACAGAATAAATGAAAAACATGCAAGAGGTGCTTTTAAAATTATTTTTTTAGAAGTCCACATAGCGCCGGACTTGGCTAAAACTACAGGTGTTACTCACACACCTGTCAAAAGTACTTCACATCGATGGCACCCACTTTGCTGAGGGTCTAACTCAATATTCAAATAAATCCAGCACAGCAGATTGTACCGCTGTGTACTTCCCATGTCTACCATAAACTGCAAACTTCCCAGGGACATCACATTTGTCAACATGGGCACGTTCTAGCTAAAAGGTAACACACCCCACACACACCCCCCATCTTCCATACGCATTAAACTATATAAATCACAAACTTGTAGCTTTTCAGTTATTTCGGATCCTGTTACCAACATGATAAAAAAATCTAAGTAGTTTGAAATTACTTTTTGCACTTTGGAAAAATGAGGCTAGCAACAACAGAGATGGAAATCACGCTAACCCAAACATATCAGAGAGAAAAAAAAAAGCTCCTGTTACCAACATGATAAAAAAATTTAAGTAGTCTGAAATTACTTTTTGCACTTCGGAAAAAATGAAGCTAGCAACAATAGAGATGGAAATCACCCTAACCCAAACATATCAGAAAAAAACCCAAAATCCACAGGTTTGTTTTTTTCTTTTCTCATTCGTTTCATGTAACACACACGTGCAATTTAGCAGGAGAGATTTCTTGGGTTGCCCAACTGGCGTATATTCGACTAGGAAATTAATAAGGTTGAAATGCTTTACAAAAGCATTTTAGGAACAAATGGGATACCAAAGCACAGAATAAAGAAAGACTTTCAATGAATACGATAAAGTTATCCTTGTGATGAGATGCTGCATGATTTAGAGAGTTCAGTATACATATTAGTCAAGCAACTCTTAGGGAGAAAGCCCTGTGGTAATGCAGGGTTAGAACCGATCCTAAAAAAGGCAGGAAGCCCAAAAAATCCCTAGTCCAGAATAGTATTGTTAGGAGATGAAAACTGAAATGAGGAGATAAACTGTCTTTAAATGGAAATAAATTTACCTACACAGAAGTGCTGCTGGAGAAGTGACTGTTTATGCAGTGCACAATGTAAAACATACAATATACTTCAGTAAATATGTTAGTTATTCCACGGCTATGGGCAATCCCTATGACAGTTATAGTTTGTGGTGTTACCAGCACTACTGGGATTAGCAAAACAGCATATTCCATCAATTTTTCAAAGACTACCAAAATACCTACGCATTAAAACGTTAAACATTTCAAAACTGAGAATACACAGCATAGGTTTTCTTAAAGGGTCTTTGAGAACTCTGCGATCAAAAGTACAAGCCAGGGAAAACAAGAGCTGGTATTTAGGCTGTCAAACCGAACCGGTAGGAACACTCTGACGGTTATTTAGCAAAAGTTTTAATGCAGTTCCAGACCCAGAAGAGTCCTTATGACAGGAATCACACCTAGTTAGCGTATCTGTAGGGCTTCCACAGAGATCCTAATAACTGAGTGGAGACTGTAGTTCCCTCAGCCTCTGGAAAAGCCCCTTAAAGCTTGAACTGATGCCCCCGTAAAATGAGGCTGGAACTTCTGTTGCTGTCACACCTCTCCACAGGCGTTCACAGCGGCCAGGTAGCTGGCAATACCTTCACACTCTCCCACAGAAACGCAAGTGAGGGCAACCCGATTCAAACATATCCTTGAGCTGTCTGACATGAACCTCGTACTCTCCGGTTTTCACAGGCAGTGACATACTCACATGGCTGCAGTTTACAGTTAAAGCTGGAGAAGGTGACTTTCTCAAGAGATGTGACGGACTTAGCTCCCCAGACGGTGAAGAATGCAACCTAAAATTGTATATGTTTAGTTGATTTACCAAGTCACATCGATCATAAAGTGAGCAATAGCCTATGTGTCGCAGAACCCACGAGACCTCCCCAGTGACGAAGCATGAGGCCGCTAATCTGAGACACTGTTGTCTTATATTCTCCTGAAGGCTCCACAATCTCCTGCTCCAAGTTTTGCTAACACAAAGAGCAGAAGAGATCAATAAAGGCCATGGGTCAGAATTACTTGAGCACACTTCTACTGCCATGTTGAATCACCAGCACCGACAGACCAGAGAGTAACAGATTTCGGCGTTACGCGCACTGGGACAAACAAGTACATCTCAAACACACTCAGAACACAGACAACGTAAGGAAGTTCTGCTAAACAGTGGAGGGCAAACACCACATCCTTCTAAGACTCCCTCTACTATTATTTTATTACACCTGTCTTTCCATATTTTCACAAAATTCCAGCTCAAAGTAAAGCCCGCTTGTTCTTTCAGCAGAACCTTGGAGATGCTGCCCGTCCCCCCTCACCGAACCAGCCAGGCTTGACGCTCACAGTGAAAACGCCGTACTGGGGCCCTCTGGACAGCTTGTTCCCATCTCCCCCTGCGCTTCCTGACTCCCAAAACACAAGGCTATAGAGAATTGGGACACTCTGGATGCTTCTGTTTCTGTCGCTTTCTCAGATCCAAAATGTGATAAGGGATTGGGGAAAAGAGAAAAGGGGTGAATAAACAGCCTATCTTAAATGAGTGGAGTTATTGGGGTGGAATACGCGTTAGATCCCTACATTCCAATATCCAACGCGCCACTTGGTAAGCGGTACTTCATACAGAAGAGTGGAACTGAGGAATACATCAACAACGGTATTACCAAACGGTAACGTCCCATCTTCCCTGCTGAGGGCATCAGTCCCGTTTCTGTGGCCAGGGCTTTTCCTCCTCGTTGCTGGATAATGACAGCAACCTGCCAACGTGCTGCGGGATAGCAACCTTTTCATCTCATCGCAACTAAATTGTGCATTCTTTTCTTCCTTTCACTGAAAAGGAATGATTCCCTGTGCCATTTGACTACTCTAATAAAGGGATGCAACTTCATCGTCGGAAGGTGATTCCGAAATAGCGGCAACAGAGTAAGAAACGTCCACGCTCATCGCACTCTCAGGCTCTGACCGTGGTTTTCACTGTTCAGAAAATTAAAAACTGCCTTCTGGTGAAGAGATGGCTGAGAAGACAATCACATTGCTAGGAGAAAATGTGTTATCCTGGACTTCAGCATGGATCTACAAAGGGGAAAATCACACTTCACCAACCTAGCAGACCTCTACAAGGAGGTGACTGACTCGGGGGATGAGAAGATACATTGGATGTTTGTGAGTTGGACTCAACTGATGCTTTTGCAGTTTCCCACAACATCTGCACGGACAAGCCGACGAGTCAGATTACTCCTGGAACAGCAGGTGCTGACTATGCCATGGCAGATAGGTGTAGGCATAGATCAGGGGACAAGAGGCTGGCGTGCAGCCCTGCAGAAAGAGATCTGGGGATCTGGTTGATGGTAAGCTCAGCGTGAGTCCCCAGTGCGCCCTGGCTGCCAGGAGGGACATCCTGGTATCCTGGGGTGCACTAAGCACAGTGTAGCTAACTGGTCAAAACAAGCGATGCTCCCGCTAGACTCAGCATTGCTGTGGCCTCACCTCAAGTACTCTGTGCAGTTTTGGGCTACGCAATGTAAGAAAGAGCAAAATGTAAGAGTGTGTCCAAAGGAGGGCAAGAAAGCTGGAGAAAGGACTAGAGGGCGTGACTCGTGAGGAACAGCTCTCAGAGGAGAATGAGAGGTGATCTCACTGCGGTCTACAACTTCCTTATGGAGGAGAGCAGAGGGAGGTGCTGATGTCTTCTTGCTGGTGTCCAGTGACAGGATGTGGGCAACCCCTTAAAGCTGTATCAGGGAAAGATAGTAGGAAAAAGTTCTTCACTGAGAGGATGATCAAGCACTGGAACAAGCTCCCCAGGGAAGCGGCCATGACCCCAAGCCTGCTGGTGTTCAAGAAGTATTTGAACAACACAGATATACAGTCTAACTTTTTGGTTGCCCCATGTAGCGTTAGGAGTTGGACTTGATGACCCCCATGGGTCCCTGAGCAGGAAAACTCAGGATATTCTATGATATGAAACTATTCCTTATACCTCTACCACTGTTGCCAAAACTGGCGTACTTCTTCATGGAAGATTTAATGTTACTACTCTTTTAGGTCCAGTTGCAAAAGTGCCAGTGCAAAGAAGTATATGGGACCTTGAACTACACTG